AACCGCTGTTGGTTAACTTTACTGGCTAACCTGCTGCTAAAAAATAAACCTAAATGATTACGGCAGTGAAATGAGACAGGGCTCCGTGAATAACATCACGGTCATTCCGCCTCTATTACAACTTAATTAAAGACTATACCTGCTCGGTTAATCTGTGCAGTGCCAAGGCGGCGATGCTGGTTAATCGACACCAAAAGCACGGCAGCCTGGCTTGTTAGTAAACTTATAATGCTTCTCGGCGTGCATTAATGTTAAAGTACAGCTGGAGCAGCAGCCTCTCCGTAACGTTGGAAAGTGCTAGCAGACTGGCTAGTTTAGCTTTGTATACGCACCGTTTGTTGGATGACACCGAGGAGCCACCACGGCGTGAAACGGCGGCAAAGGTGTAATTTCACGGATCACGGAGACGCTCGGCAGCTGTTTGTGTGCCGAAATACGGCGACAAAGGATAGCGCCATCCAACTTCTGCCCTCTCTCTCTCCCTGCCAGTTCCCTTCTCGCCTCATCCAGCACTGCTTTTAATACTTGACAACACTACGCATGCCCGGTACCGTAATTACCCTACACTCAAGAGCAGCCGCACCCTGGAAATACCAAGCACTCAGGTTTCACACGCCACTTTTTATATAATAATTTCAGCAGTGGTGATGATTTTTTAAAGACATGAGGATACAGAAGAGATATTGATATTATTGTTTTTAGCACGACCCACCGACTGCCTTCCAGGATGGATGGAGGCGCTGTGATCAATTTGTCACATGGTTGCACACGTTTTCTTCTCAATTTCATAGTCAGTCTTCTCAATTTTCATAGTTTACTTAAGCAGAAGTTGAGATATCTAGGTTAAAAAATACTCCAGTAAAAGTTGAAGTACTGAAGCAACTTTTTGCTTGTAAAGTTGAAATTCAGCGAATGAGCCTAAACAGCTTAAATGCAAATTCATCTCTGCAACTTGATGCAACCAAAGCCTGACCATGAGCACCACAGGCACTGTGCACCAATCCAACGCAGAGCTTTGCTGTGGATTCACCACATTAATGCAAACGAACCTGTTTATCGTGGACAAAACTACCCAGTATTTTCATGCAACATTTGAATAACACAAAGTTAGTACAGCTTAGCTTGTTTTGCAGGACAAAACAAAATATACATAATTTATTACAGCATATTATATACAAATCCAATGCGTGATTGAAAATGATGACATCATATGTAAGATTTAAATCTTCAGTTTATCAGTCCTTACCCTTACACATAACCTCTCTTGTTCCCCTTCTGTCTATCTTTCTGCATCTTTCTATATCAAAGAGAGCTAACTTTCTACAAGTTAGCTCTCTCTTTTCTCTCTCTGTGAAATACATCCGCTGGTACTTTAACTAGCAACAGACTGTGCTGCAAAATGCACACAGCTGACAGAAAAGTTGAATTTAAAATTACTACTTAATAAAAACGTCACTCCCTTCATGCTGTCTCCTCTTCTGTAGCGCTAGATAGTTTCTGAAGTATCGCAAACAAAAACACATGCACTCCTTCCACCGACTTTAACTCCCGAGTATAAACGCTATAGATGAACCAAATGTAAGAAAATGTAAGTAGTAGAAATATTAGTAGCAGAAGTGCGGATATTTCTTTAAAATGTAGGGAGTGTACAGTAACGAAGTATTTGTACTTAGTTACTTCCCACCTCTGTTCATAGTTTAGTAGTTTTAAGACAGAAGTGCGTATACAATTGCATTACCAGTTGCAGAAAGAAACGACAAAGTTAGCATAGTAGAATACTAAAGTTTTTCATGTTCTTTTACTTTAAATGGTTTTAATTGTTTTATTGTTTGAAAATACATTTGCAAATTGGTTTGCCTAAATTTAAAAATAAGACAAACATAATAATATTAATAATAATAATAATAATAATAATAATAATAATAATAATAATAATAATGCAGAAATAAGGATTTTTGGAAAATAATCTTAAATCATATCCTTTGACAGAGGGATAAGAGTCTGTCATCACTTAGCAGCACTGAAATTGGAGATCAAATTTTTGTGGAAACAAACACAGATAATGTTCTTAACAATAAAGAAAGCACATCGATTTGATGCTCACCTGGAGTGCATGGTGACATGGAAAGTTGCTATATACATACAGAGTGATGCAGATAAATGTAAAAACGTTATAAACATTATGTATTTTCGGAGCAGAATGGAGTGCAGATATTGCTGCCCTAATTAGATCTTGAGTATGAGAGTGTGGTTTATGGATCTGCATCAAAAGCACTTCTTGCAGGATTGGATATTGTCCAGGCTTGGGATCTCATATCTCTCAGGGCTGTAAGATCATTAGTAGTGTGTGTGTGTGTGTGTGTGTGTGTGTGTGTGTGTGTGTG